TGGGCATATTACAGATTTTATTAACCGATTCCAACATTTATATCAATTATTTTATTTTATTTTATGGAATTTGTGTGTTTGTGGCACCCTATAGGTCAAATTAAGGCAGCAATATAGTATTGATATAAAATGAATTCAAAAGGAAAAGATAAAAGGAACAGATGGAGTGATTTAAGAATAATAGAGAAGCAAATAATGGAAGTGAACAATCAAGGAGCAAGAAGGGTGAGAAAGAGCACCTAAAATAAAACTCCCATTTAAAGGTTTTACTGTCTCCAAGCTTAATCACCAATTGAACCTTTACAAAAGCTTCTATCAAAAGGGTCTCGTTTATAGATTGATAGTGGTAGGTAGTATAGCATTTACCCAGTCATAGTTTGACTCTGAAAATAATTGAAAGGCATACTAAATGTCTAAAACTAGCTCAGACCTATGTGAATATTCAGATTTTAACAACAAAAAATAGGGTAAATTACAGATTGTCACCCTGTACTTTGGGGGTAGTGACACTTAGATTGATAGTGGTAGGTAGTATAGCATTTACCCAGTCATAGTTTGACTCTGAAAATAATTCAAAGTCATACTAAAAGTCTAAAACTAGCTCAGACCTATGTGAATATTCAACAATAAAAAATAGGGTAAATTACAGATTACCACCCTGTACTTTGGAGGTAGTGACACTTAGCCCCCTCAAACTATCATTTGCAAAATGATCCACCCTGAACTTTCAGATTCCAGCACTTTGCCCCTGCCTCATTAACAGGCTTGAAGGTAGAGGTAAAATTACTAAAATTCCCATTTGAAGTTCGATGAGCTGATAGAAGAAAATAACAAAAATAGGCATCTTAAATCATGCTACCTTGTTGAATTTTTAGATTTTTTTTATTTTTTGTGTTTTTGTATTTTCCTGCTTTTTCTGTATTTTTCTCTATTACTTTGTTGTATTTTCCTTTCTTAATTTTTTTGTTGTATTTCCTATATTTTCTGCAATGTGACCCTTTTCTTTTATTTTCCATTTTGTGTTGTATTTTATCAATTTTCAGGAGAACGGTCTCATAAAATGATACAAGGGCAGTTTGGGATTTTAGAAAATGATTAAACACGCACATGACAGTCACATGAGAATCTTTTTTGAAGCATGATTCACAGACACTACATGAAAATTATGTATCAAGAGCTGATAAAAAAACCACGTATCAAAAGATTTGAACTAACAAACAATACTCCCATTTCTTCTTAGTGTTTTGATTTGACAGGTTAATAAAGACAATCCATGCAATAGCTATTAACTATCTAATAGTTTAAAATGACCAAATTCTTAAGAAACAGTGTGTAGATGATCCCAAGATACAATACGCCCAATACAGGGTGTTATCGTATAAATACTTTGAACCTTGTTTTGAAGTTAACTGACAAAATGCTAGCAGCAGGGGTAAAGTGTTGGAATCTAAAAGTTCAGGGGACAAGGTGGCAGTTTGTAATTTACCCTAAAAAATATTTAATGTAACCAATACTACCACTCCAAGAACTAAAAGAATTAAAATAAGGGAAATTTCCAAAAAAGGTATTATTTTAGTCCCCTATAGCAATTAATTATAGTGTAGGAAACTCTTTACATTATTTCCTTATTTCTAAAGTCATTCCCACTAAGTCCCAAATCTAGCACAAACCCCAGTTTGTGTTGCTTCAATATTTTATAACTTAAGGGAAAAAAAAATTTAAAAAGGTTTCCTTGTATTCTTTCTCTCTGTTAGTAAGAACAAAACTTAGTTTTTAAGAATCATGTTATCCAAAACCCAAATGGATAAATGATTAATTAAATAAAATAAATATAAAAAATGAAAGTAAAGGAAAAAATATATATTTTGATTTTGCAAAAAGTACAAAACAGAGAAAAACAAAGCAAAAATTACTTAGTATTTGGAGAAGTTCTCCTGAACAAGAATAATAATCAGTATAAAGGCCAGTGGATTTTTAAAAAGCCATTTTTTATCAGAAATTGTAACTTTCATTACAAAACATTTAAAATAATACCACTGACTGAGAAACTATGAGAGACTTGGTTTCTCTCAAGCCATTATAATCTAGAACCACAACAGCAGATGTTTCTTGGCATCCCAAGAAGGTCAACTAGGCTTATGGGCTTCAAAGGAATTTCACCCAGTTCCCTCTCCAACTCTACCTACTAACAGATCTGCTCCCCAGATTGCTTCAAGTCTCTGTTTTAGGTTTAGCAACCCTAGGCCAACCCAACTTTATATCAGGTTGGTGATTTTCAACCCTAACCCTAATCTAATCTTCAATCAACCCTATTTATTTCACATAGGGTTGAGTCAGGTTCAGGTTGGCCCCATCCAAGTAATACTCCTCTCCTTTCAACATTTTTTTCCTTAAAGCTTCTTTTTAAAATGGCTCCCCTAGTCATACAGAATGCTGATGAGGTCTTCATTGTCTGACCTAAACCCCTACTGGTAAATTGTACTCCCTTCTTTCCTTAAACATTTATTGAATCCTCTGCAATGGCCTAAGGATTTCTCATCAGGCAATGGTATAGTTGGATCAAATTAATACAGATGGTAGGTACAGCAGTTAAAATTCTGGTGAGATAATAATATTTAAGTATATATGAATTCCAATGACCAAAGGAGCCATCTTCTCAACATACATAATTCTTGCATACTAGATATGCATCCTTTTTTTTTTAACTCCTAAGGGTGATGGAAAAACACATTACAATTGCTTAAAGTTTGTTTTCCTTTTGAAAAGTAAGGTATATTTCATTAATTCAAAAAGTGTATACCCCCTGTACAAAAAGGCTGTGTACACTACGATTTACAAGATGCATGTATGTCTTACGCATACAGCATACCATTCTCTGAACATATTTCAGAAACCAAAACAGAAAAACAGAACTACACAATACTCCAAGAAATTCTTGGTGTGTCAATTTCCAAAAAATGGTAGTGCATGTTGTCTTAGCCACAAGTTCTTCGATTGCATGCCTTGTTCTTGAATAATGCACAAGTCTCTTTCTCTCCAAACATCCCATAGGATTGCTGCTGAGATGCAACTCCAAACTATTTTCCCTTTCTTAGAAAAAAAACTTTCAAATTCCAGCACTGCAACAGAGATTCCATGGTAGCTCGAAAACAACCACTGACCACAAAGAAACTTGTGAACACCTTCCAAATTGTACTGGCCACCTTGCAATGGACTAACAAGTGAATGGCAGATTCCTCTGCTATCCCACACATCACACATTGGTCATTGTTAATCAAGCTTTACCTTCACGAAATTGACACTTGGCATGAAATTCATGCAAGTATCTAGCAATAACAGTGCATGGGATGGTAAGAGCTCACAAATCAAGCTTTACTTTTCTTGATTAAAGTTGTTATAGAAGACAAGGAAACAAAGAAGCAAATAAATGACAAAAAAAACCATCCACAAAAGATGGTGAATGGAGACTATATGTTCTGGGGTGGGTTCCAAACTGCAATTTCCTACTTGATACTAACCTACTAAATGCATCCCAAATATCTACACATGGCATATATGCAATCATCTGTTTAACCAGATTTTGGAAGTGAGGAGTCCTTGAAAGTCAGTTCTCCTGCACTAACCCATGCGCATCTTCCTCCATGCAGCTTACAGACAGGGAAGACAGACTCATACTGAAGCTAATACATGATTCCTGAAATGCAGTACTCAAGCTTCAATTTTTCAAGGTGACAGCAGGTTAAATGAAAATAGGGTTTTCAAGGCCATTCACTGTCAAACAACATAAGGCATTACTTGGGAAATGGCAGTGGAGGTAAAGAGGAATCCAGTACTCACCGACAAGCTATAGTCAGAAAATATGAGAACTATAGGTTCATTGGCAGTCACTAGAGGTTTGCAGACACCTATAATTGTGCGGTTTGGAGGGGTATTCTCAACTAGCCAACAGATTTCCTAAAGCATGTTTTATTTGAGGTGGGAAGGGGCAATAGGGTGCAATTATGGAATGACAAATGGAGAATGGGTGTTAGATTTTAAAGGAAGAATTTCTGCAGTAGGATAGGTAGTCCTAAAGGAATGATTCAATACGGTGAATTGAATCTTTAGGAGAGTTTATTAGAGCTATATAAGATGTACAATGGGCCATAATTAGGGCAATCCCCTCCTTAGTTATCCCTTGGCTGTCCAAGGGATATAGCAAGAATGGATAAATGTTGTTGAACCTTGAGCTTTCACTATCTGCGGTGTCTTTGGAAGGAGAGGAACAAGAGGCTCTTTGGGCAGAAGCACTACACAGTTAATGCTGTATTGGGCAAGGTTGCGAAATTTTATTTCAAGCTTCTATCTTGGAAGTGCTTAGGGGTGTCAATTTCAATAGCTTTCGTAATGAATGAAACAAAATTATCACTGAAGAGTGAAGACCCGAGGAAACAGTATTTTGGATGCAAACGTTGTATAGGTTCGTATAGGGGCTGCCTGAGCCCCTTTCATGAATCACCCATCGTAGTTGAATCCTATTAAAACATTATTTTCTTTTTGATAAATCCTATTAAAACATTATTCACAGTCAAACAAATTACAATAATCACGTATTGAATCCGGACTTCAATGACAGTCAGTCCCAAATGATAGTGTGGCCGGAAAACCAGTAACTTAGATAAAATTGAAATCACGTAGAAGAAAACGATGTGGGCATCCAGAAACATAGGTTTTAATGAACAAAAAGAAGAAATTCATACAAAATGCAGCAGCAATAGCATCTCATTTAGAACCACTGCAGTTCAACACCTAAATCAACAAAATAATCCTTCTCCTGGTATTAGCAAGCAACCCACTCTATTAGTGTGAAACCATATTCACCTTGTACGGATTTATCTAAGCCTATTGAACTTCCAAGGAGACTAAAACCCTAAACAATGGATTTAGAGATGCACTAAAGCGTCCGAAGCAGGAAAGAAAAGCACAAACAGGGATTAGTTAGATAGACGGAGAGAACTGACCTGCCACAAGACTCGAGAGCTCGAACCTTGCACAGCCTCGTCAACTTCCAACTTCAACGGTGAATACTCTTGCCGCGCATCAGGCAAGCTCACAAACTCTGGTTTCTGTGCCTTGCTCTCTTCATCGACTGTATTAGTCGTAGCCACCTTGGTTTCTTGCTTCAACGGAGCAAATGGTATACGAAACCCTGGGAATAATGAAAACCAAGGTCCTTGCGCTTTTTGCTGCTTTGCTTCTCTGCTTGTAATCGCTTTGTTTTCTTCACTCTCTGCCATCTCTGCTTCTGTGCTAGTAATTACTTCGCTCTGTTACTTCTTTTCTAAAACGGAGCTTTCGGGGGCAGAAAAAATAAATAAATAAATTACAAAGACCCCCTCCATTAGAGGTGTTTCGAAAAATATTGCCATTCAGCTATTTAAAATTTTTAAATTATCCTTTTTTTCTTATTTATTTGAATGATTTATCATTCCATTAATTTTTTAAATATAAAATTGAAGCTGATGGTGCGCAATCTGGTCCGTCCTAGCTGTCAACGACCTTGCCTTTGAACGGAGCTACGGGGAACCTGAAACGGAGAAGATGAGGAAACTCCGGGGGAAACCCGGTGAGATTGCTCCGAAGCTCAAGTTAGAATTCTCTCAAAGGCAGGGTAAAAGCAGATGGCGCAAAGTTCACATACCTTGTTCTTGGGGGGTAGGGAGCCTTTTATAACCACCTCGTGCACTCACTTCTAAGCTTCTGTCAGGTCGGGTATGATTATCTCTGAGCTCCTGYCAGTTCGGGTGTCATCCCCTCAGTTGGACAGAACCGCCACTGCTCTCTTTGTCGAGCCGTCTCTGCGACTGGCGATGACGGTGGCAGGTGGCCGTTGAAGTGCGGCTATCAAGCGTCAGATCCCAAGTCAGTTAGGTGCACCGCCCTTGGATACGGACCTCTTCGGTGTCAGATTTGGTACGTTTGTTCAGTTCGGCATTCTGGAGGCGAAGTRCTGGAGTGGTGAGCGAGGTGAAGTCTTGAGCTCGGATAGGGGAGTGTCCCGAACTGCTATGGGGCGGGCCAGTTCGGGTCGTTGCCGTGTGTGAGGCTCGGGGCCTAAGGGTGAGTTCGGGCTTCTTGTAGGGAGTTTGGGCTCCTTGTAGGGAGTTCATACTCCTTGTAGGGAGTTCGGACTGCTGGTAGGGAGTTCGGACTACTGGTTCCTCCCTTCAGTGCTCGCGCCTTGGGCGCGCTGTCGTGCCGAGCTGTTGCCTTTGCCACGTGTTGAGTGATTACGAGGTCAAGCCAAATCTTCCTTCATCAGAAGCTATTTATGCTGCTCCAAATCCTTATAGATTTTTTGTTGATTGCAATGTTACGATAAAATGATAAAATGGTAGAGGTTTATTTTTTATAGATTTAGATTTTTGGTTTTCTTTGATTTTTCTTGATTTATTGGAAAAAGGAGTAAATAATTTTTATATCTTAATATGAAGAGAGACATTGAAATGATTCTTCTTATTTTGGCTTGTTTCTTTTAAAGAAAATGAAGGAAATTTTAGTCAATTAAGGTTTAAGAGAAGGGCAAAGAAAATAATACAAGAAAGGTTTAGGTATTCATTTTTGTAATTTAATACATTCCGTCATCTGCTTAAAGGTTGGAGGTATCTGTCACAAAATAATCGTTTAGGGGGTACTTTTCATTAACCCCATAATACAAGGGGGGTCATTGTAATTTTCCCAAAAGAACAAATACTATTTATTTTGCATATATGATCCACTTAGTAAGACCCACTCAACCATGACCCGATAGTGACTATTGAAGAAACATTGGACAAGTACCGAGTCACGAGGTCTCACACCAGAACTGAGATTCAGTACTCACAAAATGGTGCTGATGCCATACTTACATGTCACAGCCACTTGTTGAATGTTTTAATGCATGGGAGATATTCCTAATGCACGTCTGTAAATTGTTGTGAGTACCGTATGAGTACAGTTTTGTGAGATCTCTTCAAACCCAAGTGTAGATGTACTTGTTAGAGAATTGTGAGCACATTCAATCAGCACTTTATAAATAGTCTGACAATCGTATTAAAATTTGTTTTTAATCTTTTCCAAATTTCAAGGGTAGGCTAAGAGTATTTTAAGGACCGGGCTTCAAAAAAAATATCTAAGTGCTTACCCAATCTGCTCATCATGTGTGCCTACGTGATCCAGAATGCTCAGACCCATCGGCTGTATGAATTTACCATGATTTTTTGTGCTTTGGGTTGTGATTAGACCTGTTTTTAGGCCGGGCTCAGGCCGGGCTTTGATTCTTTATTAACAGAAAATTGTTAGGTTCAAGCCGGGCGGCCCTGATAAAAAGCCCGAAGCTCGAGCCCGAGCCCGAAGCCCGACTTAATAAAAGAAATTCAAAAATTTCCCTATTCAAATGGACATTTTTTATTTTAATTTAGATGTTTTTCCCATATTTAAATGAACAATGAGCCTACAAGTGAATCAATGACCTTCTCAAATCAAAAAATTTATTCAAATAGACATCACATAGGGTTTTTACTTAGGTTTAACTATAGATCGGGCCGGGCCGAGCTATTTTGGCAAAGCCCGAGCCCGGCTCGAATTTTATGTGGGCTGGGCTTTTTGGCCCGAGGTTAAGCCCACGGGCCAAAAACCTATTCAAGCCTGTCCGGAGGTCGGGCCAAGCCGGGCCGGCCCATCGGACCACCTGGCCCATGAACACGTCTAGTTGTGACATAATGCGTGAATCCCAGTTTTAAGGTAAGCTGGTATGCGGGCTTGTTCCAACAGGGACTTCGGATTGATCCTGCTGCCACCAGGGTTGGGGGTTGCGGGTACATATGGCGACTAATGTTTTAAAAATCATCTCAAAATAGAATCCCTTTGGTCACCAGTTTCTAGATCATTGGTTCAATAGTTCGTTTTAATGATCAGTCCATAATTAATGCTTTAAATTAAAGAAAATTTAAAAAATGGCCAGAAAACCGTGGCCATGATTTGGGTAAAGAATGGTTCCGGGTGAAACAGAACTTATATCCTGACCTTTTTGGGGGGTGGGGATGGAATTAACTTTGGTTGTTGGCCAACAACCTATGCTGTTGAGAGCATTTTTAGGCTGGACACATTCACCGATTCACGCCCATCTCTATGTTTATCTCGAGGAATGAGAATTCTAGTACTCAATGCAACACGTCCTTAGTGAGTCTACACATTTACTACTTACACTGCTGTGTATCACTTGCTACATAATCAATCATGAGTGAACATGCTTAATGTTTTTATACATTTCGATGAGCTCTCCATAGAGTGCACTCGACATGTGCCCCACGTACGTTCTAAGGGGAGTCCATCCAAATGTCAGTAATAGATCCCCGGTGGCTACAACTGTTCTTGTTGTGTTTGTTTGTGATGTCATCGATCTTTTTCTTCAGAAGTATAATATAATGGGGCCTTTTTTTGGGTTGTGAGGTGATGCTATAAGGAGGTTTTGGTTATTACAGTTTTTAGAGTTTGACAAATTAAGGGCATGTACTTCGATTTCTTTTTTGCATTGTATTTTTTTTTAGGAAAAAAAATCTCTTTTATGGAAAACAATCCAAAAAATCTATTGAAAGGTGAACATGGTTTATCAACTAATTTTTGCCAAACAAGTCTCCATGCTTAATGCTTTCTCAATCTTCTCTCGTTTTTCTTGCCATCCTCCATGCCTCATCTTACTATGGTTGTGCCATTGTTTATATCCTCATTGTAATGGGGTGGCACGGGCTCAATGGCTGCTTTATGGTAATTTTCTTCTTTCTCCAAGATTCAATCCCAAGGTCTCTACTACGAGTTACAACTTACAACCAGCCAATTAGCACCTTGCTATTGGAATTCTTTTCTACGATGAATGAAATCAGACTTGGGGCTCTTATTAGTGACCTAATAGCTAAGTTGGTCACTAGGTATCCCTCCTGAAATGAAGACATACAATAAGATTAAACCTACGTAACTATAGGTATGGGTTAGGGGTGTTCACGAGTGGGTTTAGTTTGGTTGTAGCCTTGTAGGTTATTCAGCCAAATGAATCGATTTGGTTGAGTTGGGGAATTAGTCACCCAAAATCAATCAATTTGGGTTGTATCGATTTGGATCGGTTTATTGATTTAGTTTATCAAATCAAAATATATATATTTTAAAAATTAAATTTAAAAAAAAATCAATAATATTATTAAAAAATTAAAGTTACAATATACAATATTTTAAACTAGGAAAGATGGAAAATTTCCTACTTTTTATATTAAAAAATAGATTTAAAATATAAAATATAAAATATTAATATACATTTATGGTTGGGTCAGGTTGGTTTTGGTTGATTTATGCACAGCCAAACCAAAACCAACTTGACCTCTTGGGTTAGCATAATGCCTAGACCGAAGCCAATTAAGAATAATTGAAAATTGACCAATTGGGATCAAGTTGAGTCGGGTTGATCAATTTAATTGGTTTTATGAATAACCCTTTTGCCCCACCCTAATTCTCTTTGTAATATGCATTCTTAACACAGAGACACACACGCACACAAAAAGACAGCCTTAGTACTATGAAAACCTTTCCCTTGGAATGGTTCAACATAAAATCGAAAGGAAAATTTCCGATAGGTACCCTGTACTTTACGCCAAGTACCAATTTAGTACTCGAACTTTAAAACACGATAATCTAGTATCTGAACTTTCATTTTGCGATGATTTAGTACTTGGTGTTAACTCATTGTTAAGTGTTGTGACAAAAGACACAAATGCCCTTTACGTGTCATCTGATTTTCTTGATCAACCTTCTGTTAATAGGCGATCCCAGAAGTTGCTAAGCTTGTTCCCTCAGCCATGTCCACCAGCCCACCCTTTCCAACATTGACAACCTTCCAGTCAAGCCCTCGTTCCGGGTTCTGGTTAACGACTTAGTGCTTACCAAACGCGACTGGAAGTCGACCATCAACCATCAACCATGACACTTAACGGTGAAGAAACTTGGAGATTGTTAGCGAGACACAGTGCTTACAGAGCCTATGTCTCTGTGTCGGAAGCACCCTCATTGTAGCTAGGGCTGTTCATAAGAAGGCCTAACCCGACCAAACCGATCAACCCGGACCGACCCAACCCGAGTCGACCAGGTTTTCATTAGCACCGGTCGGTTCGGGTTGTACAAATTCATAAACCGATGGTTCGGGTCAGTTTCGATTTTCTTGTGTGAAAACCGAAACCGACTTAGTTCCTACTTAACTAAAAACTGGAATATCTGAAAATATATATTCCAATATAATTGTATGTATATTTTTGTTTATATATATATATATATATCTAAAATACATATTTCAGTTTTAAATATATTTCCAGCAAACTAGGTGGCCATGGGGGGCATGGATGAACTTAGAGCTGAAACCGACCCAAGGAATGTGTTTTAACATCCAACGATGAGGGAGTTGGGATCTCCTACTAACAAAACACATTTCAACATCCAACGGTGATTTGACACTATATATGAGGCTAGGGCTCACCATAAAAGTGCGACTTGCCATGTATGAAATGTGAAGCGTTAGATCATGTTTAATAGGATTTTGAAATGTGTTTTATTGGTAAGCGATCTGGACTTGACCAAAGGCAATGAACATCATACAACAAATTCAAAGCAAATCCCTTATGTATTGGAAACATCTCCACATGAATAATAACACACAAATATAATAAATGTTTTTGATGTGCGGTGGAACCTATTATCACTTATGAGGTGGAATGATGAATTGAAATATGTGCTCTTTATATAGACCTCACATCACATCGCATCATGTATTGGGAACATCTTCCATAAATAATAACATATACATATGAAAAATGTTTCCAATGTATGACTGATACATACATGCGATAAGGTTAGAGTGAGGATTGTAATATGAGGAACAAATGAGCCAAGATCTGGTCCTCACAAATGGGCGCCTCACAGGCACATCCACCGTACATTGGAAACATTTTCCGTATATAATAATTAATAAGCACAGGAAATATTCCTAATGCATGGTAAGATATGCCTGTAAAGCGCCAGGTGTGAGAAACAGATCCGGTCTCGAAACAAATCCGAACGAAAAGGAACAAATATGCGGGTCCCATCGCATGGAACATTATCATTCGTTCCACAGCCCGCTGAACAGAATCGCGTTGGGTTAATCCAAATTCACTCTTCTGTGACGAGCAGATCCCAGCACAGAGGCGGCTACCCTTCGATCTAACGACTTTGACCGGCTGTGCATTGGTACACTTTTTGAAGCATCATAAATGATCTGTTAGTGATTATCTCGAATCTACGGTTTTGATTGTTCACGCAATAGGCACCAGGCACCACAACTCTGAGAGGTCACGTGGCAGGGGCAGTAGTAAGAGGTCACGTGCTTATTGCAACTCTGAAAAGTCAATCTCAGTGAGCCCATGCCACGTGGAGGCGAAAAGAAAACCGCACGTTCAGGGCCACCGGCCCACCGTAGTTGGCGAGAACAACTAACTCACAAATACCAATAAATGGACTACGTGGCAGAAATAACATCCCACGTGGCACTAACGGGACGGTTCAGATTCACCATGTAAGCCCTTCTCCTTCACTCGATTAAACCAATAATTAACGTCTTGTTTTTCAATTTTCAAAAGGGGACTGATTTGGGCACAACCCATCTTTGGTGAACATGTACATCCCTATCAATGAAAAGACAAAGAAGTCATATTTAGAAGGATAAATTGCCTGAAACCTCCCCTTAAACTTTAACTTTGGTAATTACAATAATCTATCCTAAATTGACCCCTCTTAAAAGAGGCATTAAAAATATCTAAAATAGCCATAAAGTTATTTTAGATGAAAATATTTATTTTCTAAATTTTGCCTTCATATGAATCACTAGTTCAAACCCTTTTAATCTATTTTCCAAAATTGATTTTTTTTTTTCTAAATTTATCATTTATATCAACTGCTCCAAGGTAAAGCTTAAATGGCTAAATGTTTATTTTTCATTCTTTATTTTCTGTTGTTTATAAAGTTTGTATTGTTTTTTTATGAAAACCAGTTTCAATAGTAATTACATGAGTATTTTGGACATTTTTATATTTCTATTCTAATAAAAGTAGGGGTAGATTTGAACTAAATTGAGCCAAATATTTGGTTATTCAAGCTTAAACTTGAATTTAACTCGACTCGAATTCAATTATAAGCCAAGCTTCATATAAAAAAAATTTATAGATATAAACAAATAATTTTTATTTTATATATAAAATATTAAGAATTATAAAAACTAATTATTATTATACGTATAAAACTATATATATTGTAGGCTAATAAGCCTTACGAACTTGACTCAAAGATCAATTTAGATCGAGCCAAATCAATTTTTTCACGAGCCGAGTTCAAATGACTTATGAAAAAGCTTAATTCATATCTACACCTAAATGTAAGTATTTATGATTGCAATTACCAAAATTTAGAGGAGAGGTTTTAGCAATAATCACAAATTTGATAGGAGGTTTCAGCAAAATTCGTATGTTTTATAATACATACCAGGGGTATTGTTGTCTTTTTAACTTTGTACTTCCCATCTCTTTCTCATGGACACGTAGGTGCGGACTATCAATGGGACGTGCCCAAATCACTCCGCTTGTCTCATGGTCATGGGCTTTCCGCTTTCCTTGAACCCGGTTTTTACTTTTCGCACGCCATTATTACGCAATAGCTTACAAAATGGAGAGTGAAAGTGAAAGTCAGAAAGTAATACAATAGCATATTCTGCCCGCGTGCGTCTCTGTTGCTTCATCGATCTCATTCGAAGGCGGATTCATCCCGTCGAAGGATTCGAGCTCCGTCTCCGCTTCTTCTTTCGTCGATTGTTTCTCAGATTATCGTCGTCGATCGAAAATGCATTCGACTCACTTGCTTCTCGAAGAACCCATTAGGATGGCTTCCATCCTCGAGCCATCCAAACCTGTAAGTAGTAATCCCTCGATTGTACTTGCTTACTTCTCTTCTTACCTCTTTTCTATGGAGATCTGTTGATTGATGATTTTATCTTTTTTGTGAAAGTTATGTATATATGTATATATATATATATATTTCTATACTGAGACTTCGATTCTTTTCCCCTCCTTTCGACAATTTTGACGAAAGTATTGTTGGAGATTGGAATAGTAGAGGTTGATTGGTTGGTTTTTGATTTGGGATTTATCGTGTTGAATTCTGCAGACTTTCTTCCCTGCAATGACAAAGATAGTTGGGACACTGGGTCCGAAGTCGCGATCTGTGGAGATTATTTCTGGTTGCCTTAAGGCGGGGATGTCTGGTATTATCTCTCGGATCTATCTTCTTGATTTTTAGCTTCTGTCAGTTAGTGAGTTGACTTTGATTTGTTTCTTAAAAGAAAAAAAAAATGGTTTTTCATTCTCGATTTGGATTTGTGTTGGGAGATTTGGTTTCACTCCGTTTAAAGTTTGGTTTGTCTTTTATGGCAGTGGCACGTTTTGACTTTTCATGGGGAGACACCGAATATCACCAAGAGACTCTAGAAAATCTGAAGATGGCTGTCAAAAGCACAAAGAAGCTCTGCGCTGTAAGCTCCCTGTCCCTTGTTTATCTCAAGCTGTATGATCTGTCCCGTAATATAAATTCTTATTCATTTTAGCTTAGTCGATCATTTTTTCCATGCCTCAATTGCGTCGGCGTTTTGCTAGATCATTTGGGTCAAAACTTGAGATTCTTGTCAAGACGAGTTCCGCCATTTTGATTTCTTCTCCTGCTCAAATAGAAAATGGGAATTTGGCATTAATAGATTTTGGTTTCCTTGTTTAGGTTATGCTAGACACCGTCGGCCCAGAGTTGCAGGTTGTCAATAAAAGCGAGAAACCTATTTTGCTTCAAGAGAGTGCCCATGTTGTTCTGACACCGGATCAAGATGAGGAAGCTTCATCGGAGTTGTTGCCAATTAATTTTACTGGACTAGCAAAGGTAAGCAACGTCCATCATGGCAGGCCACCTCCAACCTGCAAATTATTTCTGTGAATTGAGAATGTTTTTGGATAAATGAGGTGTCACATATGCCAAGGCTAGTACATGACAACTTTAAGCTAGATAATTGAGTTCCTTCGGTTGTTAGATATTTAGTGGGTTTTCTTGCTCTCGTTGGAATTTTTCTTTGTTTTAAAATCTGATACTGCTGCTTTGTGGAGTTCTTTTTAATGTTTGATATTATTTCACATTCTGATTCATCCTTAATCAGGGTTGACAGTGTTAAAGATAATTATGTTAGTAACACTACCAATTGTTTTTTTTTAATCAGTAACAGAAAACTTTCATTAATTAAGAAAAAAGTTTAAAATACAAAGGTGGGGGGAAGTAAACCCTCTTACCACACCCCCACCAGGAAAATTACATAGTAGCCCAAAACAATTGACTTCTTCCCACCCCCTGTTTGGCCAAAGCATCTGCAAATGAATTAGCACATCTTTTAACCCACGGGACACGCATATCCATTCATTGGGTTAGCCACTTAAAGTGCCTTCTTTCATTAATGTATGCCCTAACCCATCGTTTGCCTTCTCTATCCAGCCAGTTACCACTTGCGAATCTCCTTCGATAATCAACCTATTTATATTCAACTCCTTAGCCCTTTTTACCCCCTCCAAGAGGGCTAGAATTTCTGCTCTCAAAGAATCTCCAACTCCAATTGGTCCTGAAAAAAGTGCTATAACTGAACCTGCCTCTGTTCTGAACACACCATCAACCCCTGATGGCCCTGGATTTCCTTCACTGCTCCCATCAAAGTTGAGTTTGATAAAACCTTCCATCGGAGGGAGCCACATCGGATGGACATTGATTCTCCTAGGAGCCGAAACTGCTATTTCCTGCCAATTGTTCATGATGATTTCTATTGAAATATCCTCAAATAGGTTCATTGTTTTTACCCATTGTGCTACCTTCAAAGAAATCACTTCTATAATTGTGTCCCTGCTTCTTTCTTTTTCAGCAAATATCCTTTGGTTCCTTCGTCCCAAATTGTCCAACAAACTGCTGCCATAGTGCACCTCCACAAGATTTTTCCCCTCTTTTTGATCCAGCTACCAACTGAATAGGTGAAGAGGCTACGAATGGAGTCCACCTACAACCAAATAAAGAGAGAAACCACTCCCAAATAGAAGAAATAAAAGGGCAGAGTATAAGTAAATGAGAGCAAGACTCACCATCAGCTTTACAAAGGGTACACCAGTGCAGGGACAAGCACCAAAAAGGCTTCTTTTTTTGAAGATTATACCAATTGTTAAAAGTAAAAGGGCAGAATATAAGTAACACTACCAATATATGTAAAAGGGCAGAATACAAGTAACACTACCAATTGTTAAAGACAACAACTTATTATATCTTGATTCTTGGGGTTTGCTTTCTCTAAAGGATCATATGTATTGTGTTCTACTTTCTCTTATTGCTTTTACTTTTTCCCTTTTTATGTTTGAGCATATCTTATTCTTAAACTTGTGGAAATTAATGTAAACTATTCTTAACCATTTTTACCTTTCTTCCCAGTTTTCGTTCTGTGCTCATGTGTTGTGTAATAGGATTTTACATTCAATATACCTTGGTAATTGTACCTTGATATCACTGTATTTCATTTTTCTAAGCACAATTTTGGTAATATGCAGGCTGTGAATAAAGGTGACACCATTTTTATTGGTCAATACCTGTTCACAGGAAGTGAAACAACTTCTGTTTGGCTTGAGGTAAGACAGATGTTATTAGAGTTTTGTGATTTGGAATTTGCTAAATTGCATCATTCCTTGTATACTTGCCCAACTTGGGCATTGAAATATGTTGGTTGAAGGACTACTAATATTTTTTCCCTTGAAGTTATAAAATTTTATGTATTTTACTGCAGGTAGCTGAAGTTAAGGGAGAAGATGTGGTTTGCATGATTAAGAACTCCGCTACTCTGGCTGGGTCATTGTTCACATTGCATGTTTCTCAAATTCGTATCGAGCTGCCTACCCTGACTGATAAAGACAAAGAAGTAAGTTTTAGTTATTTTTTCCATTCTTTCCTACTATGGAGCTAATGCGATGCCCTTTTGGAAGCTATATTCATTCACTTGGCTGGACATTATCAATCATCTGATGCCTCAAGATGTTATGGTTTATCCTCTGACAACTTTTATTTGGGACAATTTGTTAACAGTTGAAGTGGTTGGACTGAAAGACATATTGCTCTGTCTTTTAGTGAATAAAATCATTAAGTAGGTAATGTGTTGTGAACTCCTTAATGGCTGAATGGCACATTGGGTTTGATCACTGTACTCCTAATATTTTATCATATAACTATTTATCCATTACAAGACAAAGTAATAAGTCATTCAGTTCAGTCATTTCAGCTGTTATCAAACAGTCTTTTAGTGAATGTGGATCTCTAAACTTGCTTATTTCTTCCCTAAGAACCAAAATTGCGTAGGGACATATTAGAAAACCAGTCTATGGAAAATGATCTTTAGGGGCGGTTTTGTTCGTGGGAATAGGGGTCCGGAATCGGATCCAACTGTTGGTTGGGCGGAATTGGAATCTGGTTCCCTTTCCTGCTGAATGGCATTCCCCCATTTGTGGGAATGTCCATTCCCTCCCCCTCCCTTGGGAATGAGAATTCATTCCAGCCAATTCGAACCCCGATTCTGATTCCAGTCTGAAACGAATGGAGGGGGTAATAGACCATTCCAATTCTGAAGGTTTTCGATTCTGATTCCAACTGTGAACCAAACGGACCCTTAAGTGATACCCGGATCAATGAGTTGCCTTTTAAACTTGCAAGGTGCAGTCACACTAAATATTATGGGTTTGATTCAAATATTTTTCAAACATGGTAAATTTTGAACTGTCTACTTTAAGTTTCTTACCCAGTACATATTATGATATTTTGATAACCATTTCAGGTTATAAGCACATGGGGTGTTCGAAACAATATTGATTTCATTTCTTTGTCATATACCCGTCATGCTGAGGATGTTCGCCATGTGAGGACTTATCCAAGTATTCTTGACTGTTTTGTTTTCCTTGTCCATACCATATTGTTATCTTTCGAAAATCTTTTTTTGCAGTTTGTAACCATTTTAGTTTTTTAAGATTATCCACTTTATTTATGATATAATTAGTTTTATATTTTAGTGTTTAGTGCAATTAGTTAACCTGAATTCTTTCTCAAATTTGTTGTTTTATTTAGTAATAGTATTGCTGATGCTGTGGTACAGGCCCGTGATTTTCTTTCTAAGTTGGGTGACCTCCAACAGACTCAGATTTTTGCAAAAATTGAAAATGTAGAGGTGAGCTGCATGCATAATTAGATTTCTTGGAAACAGTTGTACTTGTATGATAATGTGAATGAGCAACTCTGTCTTCTTCTATTTCCTGCAGGGCTTAAAGCATTTTGATGAGATCCTTCAAGAAGCGGATGGCATTATTCTTTCTCGTGGGAATCTGGGCATAGATCTTCCACCTGAGAAGGCCAGTATTCTGAATTTCGTCAAATGACTTATTTATTGTTATCAGTTTTCAATGATGTTTTGGGGGTCCTGGAATACATTTATTTGGATGCATGCATCTCCATACACATTCACAACTAACCCAACATAGAAGGCATAATGATTAATGAGTGCACATGCTTTAATGCCTACTCTGGAAAAGACAATCATGAGTCATGTGTGTGGACATGGGTACAAATGTGAAATTCCAAAGGGAATTCTTCTTTATCGTGCCCGTCATATGTGTCTATGAATCTTGGAGCCTAGGGCTAATGTTTGAACATGAATTGTGAACTTTTAATACCTATCATGATATCATCGTCATCATCATCATCATCTTCATCATCTAATCCTTGTCCCAACTATATGGGGTTGGCTAAACGAATATAGTATAACCAATTATAAATTGTTTTGATTATTTAGTGTTTATTGATTTATCTTTTTAATGTTTAATTTATATACATTTCTCATTGGTTATTGCATTATCTATATATTAAATAAATACTATCATAAAAGTCAAAATAAAAAAATAAGTTGTTTGGTGAGTCACTGAGTTCTATTACTTGGGGTTCCCTGACTTCCCGACATAAGGTTCTTGTATCCATAACATAGTTTTCAGTTAATCAGAGATGTCTCATGGTCCTTAACTGGTCCAGAATGAATGCTTATATGCATGTATGTCAAAAAATATGCATGGTGTTTGTGTGTCTTTACATGCATGTGAAATATATGCACATGTGCTGAAGTATCTTTCTGTGAATTGTGCTTCACATACAAAAAATTTGCTTGATACCTTTGTTTCTAAGTGGTTCTCTGTTGTTCTTGATTGCTTTTTGGAGGAAATATTCTGAATTGCTGTCTTCAATTTTCTAAATGATTTCACAAACTTTAGAATAGAGGGTTTACTGCAAGGTGCCAACTAGCTGGGTGGTAAGGTTTCCTGCTGGTCATGGTGGAGACTTGGGATCGAATCCTGCCTGCACCTGGGTTGGGGGATGGGCTCCCCCATTGTGTAGCCCTTCAAAAGAAATAAAAAAAAAAGAATAGAGGGTTTACTTATCTAAAGTTAATGTCTTTGTGGTATTAGTGACTTCTCTTCCAGGCCTGATATGGCTTAATGTGCTTATGCTCAGAAATGTCAAATTTAATGAAACTATATAGGATGGAATTTCTATTGATTGGCATCCTGGGTATGGTATAGTACCAACTTGTAGCCTGCTGTCTTGAGTCAAGGGCATTGAAAGTGTCATGGTAGCTGATAGAAAATTTTGAACTAGATAATGGTGGATATTTCCTCAATAAGTGGTAGTGAAAAGATAAATGACACTTGATAGTTGTTGGGGATGTTTCTTCTTACAGTTTTTTTTTTTTTCTTTCTTTGACTTTGCATCAATAAAACTTGTTATGCTTATTCGACAAGACTATTTGGTACTTATTCCTTATGAGTTATGTAGGTGTTCTTATTTCAAAAGTCTGCTGTCTACAAATGCAACATGGCTGGGAAGCCTGCAGTGGTTACCCGTGTTGTAGATAGTATGACTGATAACCTGAGACCAACTCGTGCAGAGGCAACTGATGTTGCAAATGCTGTCTTGGATGGTATGTTCTATTCTCCAGTGGGAGATACTGCTTGAAATCGTCATTTTTCTTTTACCTTCTATAAATCAGTAGCTTACCTTGATTAGAACTTTCATATTGTGTTACTGATTAAAAAGAGACATGCTTATTTGTCTACCTTTTTCCCATTTTTTTGATGGGTACAGGAAGTGATGCGATCCTTCTAGGTGCAGAAACCCTGCGAGGACTGTATCCTGTTGAGACCATATCTATTGTTGGTAAAATTTGTGCTGAGGTGAGTCTTTTAGATACTAGATTCTGGATTTACACGTTCTGTTTATCATGCCAAACTAAGGGGGTGTTCAATATCGTGGACAAGAAATTGCATGGTGCGGATTGATCCATTGGGCCCCACTGTGGTGTGGTTGAAACCACACCACACTTTTTGTAGGTTTTCTGCACTGTTGTGTGTGGATGCCTTGTCAGAAAAAAATCTTGGTCATTTATTGCAATACTTTATAAGAATGTTTGGATATACCATGGTGTGAACTGATCCATGATATTTAAATGTGGATAATAAAATTGCGAGATAGTGTGGACCAATTCACAGTATAGTGTGGATCAGTCCATGCTACAATCTCAGAGAACACCAATAAGGGTGTGGCATAGACCGAAATGAGCTATCTGTGGCTTTGTCCACAGTACTGAAAACTCCCTAAAGCTGCTAGAATCTGAACTTTATTTTGGTCATTAGAGTTTTGGAGTTTGAATACTTACTGGGAAATATATTTAAAACTGTGAATATTCATGCCATTGGGCTTGGCTTTCATGGTCTAGACTGCTTACTCTGCCCTCTAACTTGATAGTTCTAAACACATCCATTTTGTGGGTGGAGTATTTAGTTGCTTCTGCCATCAATTTGAAAATAAAGATGCTTGAGACAGTCAAGATTCAGATCTTGGGCCTGACTTTGAAAAACTTACAACCAATAATTAAAAAGAAGCAAGAAATTTGGAAATGAATGAAAATGAGATTGCAAGCATAGTTGATAACCATATTTTAGTTGTCTTGTCTATGGAGGCCTGATGAAAAAATATTAGTCACTGTTGCTATTTCCCAAGATTGGCATGTTGCATTACTTCGTTATAACTTAACACCAAAAAGAATGCTCATAGTTGAATGCAGTTTGATCTTTATATAAACTAATTTTTAATCCTGCATCAATAAAAAAATGAGTTCAATCACCTGTTTCAAAAAATAAGTAAATAAAAGAGTTTGATCACCTGTTTCTCTTTGCATTCATTGACCTAGTATGTTATGACTTTACTAGATAGTTTCTTTATGGTTTCGCCAGCATAAATGTGTAGAAATAATCTATTTTGTTAGTTGGCAATAGGGGTGTAAATGGATTGAATTCGAATCAAATTAGGCAATATCCAAAACCGATTCCGATTAGAAAATCCGATATCTGACGGATATTGGAAATTAATATTCGAATTCGATTGAACTCAACCAATTAATTATTTTAGGTAATTAATAAATATATAAAATAAATATTTTTTATATAAAGTATATTAATATATAAATTATTTATATAATTTAATTATCATATATATAAATTATATAAAACATTTAATTATTTTATATAAGAATTAAATAATCGGTCGAATTCGGATATTTATCGAATCACATCAGGTCATATCCGAATTCGAATCCAATTAGCTATTCGGTATGAATAGAATATCCGAATTTAACCGATTAGATATTTGAATTATCCAAATTCTATTCGATATCGAATCTTGAATTCGAAATTGGATTTTTGAATACCGTTGACACCCCTAGTTGGCAAGCTACATTTGTGAAGTGAAAGCATATTGCTGTGATGAAACAGCTAGGAATGAACAAAAGTTGCAATTCTATTTTGAGTTGAAAAGTTTAATTGCACATTTCCATGCTTAGGCATAATTTCTGTATATGTTGCCTTTAGTCTCAGTAGGTTTATATTTGATTCCTCATGCCAATGCACAGAATTAAAATATATACATATCTATGGTATCGTCACACGGCTGTAATTTTTTATTCCTATTCTTTTCATCACTTGTTGGCAACTTCCTTGGTTCATTTATTTTCTCTTGCTGATTGTTTCAGGCAGAGAAGGTTTTCAACCAAGATCTATATTTCAAGAAGACTGTCAAATATGTTGGAGAACCAATGACTCACTTGGAATCAATTGCTTCCTCTGCGGTATTTCCATCTAAATTCTATTATAATCACCTCTTCCGCATTAAATACTGATGGCTTCTCTGAAGTTTTCCCTGGTGGGAGTGGTTCTTATTGTGCTAATATTAATGTTGTTCATCTAGGTACGTGCGGCAATTAAGGTGAAGGCTTCTGCTATTATTGTCTTCACTTCATCTGGAAGGGCTGCTAGGTACTCCCTTCATATGGAATATACATGTGCATGCTCATTTAGAAATCTTAAATGATAGTCTCCAGCTTGCTTCCCCCACCAAAAGATTCCTATCTGTGTGTGGTGTCAGCGTTTGTGTGTGTGTGTTAGCTGTTCAGGCAGTTAGGTTTAGGTGGGTTTCTCACCAGAGAATAACAAATATGTGTTTTACATTACACTGATTGATCACTAAATTATTTTTATGCAGATTGATTGCAAAGTATAGGCCAACAATGCCAGTTATATCAGTTGTCATCCCTCGTCTCAAAACAAATCAACTAAAGTGGAGTTTTACTGGTGCCTTTGAGGTATTTAGCTGATCCAATTATTATTGTTGTAAAAAAATGCAAGTTGTGATAAATTTTAGTAGGTTACATTAACTGAGTCAAATAGTTCTAAATTAGAAGTAGTTCTACTTTCAGCTTGTTAGAAAACATTTTTGGCCTTACTAGTGCCACGAAGAGTCTAGAGATTCCAAACAATGCAACAAAGAGGGGAGCTATCTTACTGAAAAAAGGACAGGGAGCTATAATAATTTCTTCTAACTGTTCTTTTTATTGATTGCTTATTCTATTTTATGTTTGATAATGGTGGCATCACACTTGTTAAGGATATTTCTGATACCAATCAAATATATGGTGAGTGAAGGTGTATGTATTTGAACTGGATCTAGAAAGACCAAAGAAACGGTTTTTAGTTTTGTTGAAATTTTGCAAAATAACTTGAAATTTCAGTTCCTACAATTTTAATTTTACCTGAAATTAATAAAATACCAAAATCATTAATTTTTTTTTTTGCTTATAGATGTCTCTTGGGTTAAATAGCCGAAATTGATTAATTTCATTTTATTCTACCAAATGAGTAATATAATTTCAGATCACTAGGAAAATCAAGATGTACAAAATCATGGGGGCAGACAGTAATGCTAGCCCTATGAGTGTATCTGCTTGCACTATACTTAACATTCTTTTACTGTAACTAGAAAAGTTCATGGTTACCTATAAAAAAAGCACACTAAAATCATTTGTTAGGATTGCTTTTTGTAGCTCCAGAAGTGGTTCTAGTGCTGAACTTAGTATTTGCTAACATTTTGGAAGATTCTTTGGGAATCCATGATGTTCTTTAGTTCAAAATGGGAAAATTGGGAAGTGATGTCTTCCCATTTTTTGCGATTTCTTCATGGCCAAAAACAAAGGTCCCTTCTATATATTGTAAAAATAAATTCAATTCAATCTTCTAATTTATTTTCAACAGCTACTTTTGTAAAGATTAGCCGAATTCCATTTTATCTTTGTTTCAGCTTTCTTTAATTGTGATCTTTTGAATGAGTTCTCAAGTGTGGGCCTTACTGCGTGAAACCCTTTCCATAAAAGCTGTGCTATACTATCCTGAAGCATGTTTACTAGATATTTTCAATTATTACATGCAGTTATTGGTGCTTCTTCAATTGCCTTCTATAGTCTATCACCTTTTAGTATTCTCCTTGTCCCTGATATTGTAAAAGCACATTATGCTCTTACTGGCTCTTATGTTCTTATCAATGTTGAAATTTGAGATGATATATCATTGTCTCCATTTTTTGGTGGTTCACCAAGAACAAAATTTCTTAGAAGGTTGGACTAGGGAATGCTGAAAGGTTATTGATACTGCACTCGAATTGATGAATGCGCAGTTATGTTGTTAGATAACAATTAGTAAAACTTTTATATCCGAGCTTTTACATTTAACCGGACATCATGGCAAAAAATTCATAATTTCTTTTATTTTCTTTAGGCTGTCTTTGTTTCCATGTTAGAGGGGTGGGATTTTTTCCCCTATGAGATGCAAGAAATTCTGGAAGACGTATTTTTGCACAAAACCAAGGGAGGAAAATTTTCAATCTATAAAATAAGGGGGTTGAAAAAGGTTTTGATCTGTAAAATATCAGTCAACGATTTCCTTTTTATGGCCTAATTGTTTTTCTGCCCCTTTTACATGGGAGCAAACTCAAGGTTCAAAGTTTCACAATACAACGATGTGTACTGTATGATATGCATCAGATTTTGAATCCACCTAAATGTGATCCTAGCTGATGCATGCTTTTTTTGATGAGAACCGCGCAGGCAAGGCAATCACTCGTAGTTAGAGGCCTTTTCCCCATGCTCGCAGATCCTCGACATCCGGTAAGTTCATTATATGTATAAAACATGCTTCTTGAGGAGTTGTCAAATAATACATCCATGATCCATCTGTGGAAAAAATATGCATCTATCATCTGTTACCTTGGATTAATAGGGTTTTCATTATATCTGATTCTTACCTCCTTGATTCTGCATGTAGGCTGAGTCGACAAATGCAACAAATGAGTCGGTTTTGAAGGTTGCACTAGATCACGGTAAGGTTTCTGGTGTGATCAAGTCGCATGATCGTGTTGTTGTGTGCCAGAAAGTTGGGGATTCTTCAGTTGTGAAGATTATTGAACTGGAAGACTAGATGCTGATTTGTTTGATCACCACCTTTTTGAATTTTATTTATATTTACTTTCGCTGCTTTCTTCCCAGTTTTAAATGAAATGGTGGTGGGTCACTGAGCCTTGATCTGAGGCACCAAACCCATGTTCTAGATTATAAGCCAATGGGCAACACTTGTATTAAGAGTGTATACTGAGGCAATCATTTAATGCAAAATTTGAAGCTTGTGGTGGCAATGCAATGTGGCATATCCAAGTTGTATGCTTGGTCGAAATCTTTTATTCCTTTTTTAAATGAGAATCTGCACTCCAGAGTCCAGAGTCCAGAGTTTAGGTGTGTGTCCCATTTCTGGCTTCGATGAAACCTTGCAGTACTGAAATCTTGGTTGGATTCATTCAAGCCCTTACCATTTTAGGGGTAACACGGTTTCTGAACTCTGATTATTTTGGTGCTGTTTGACGACATTCTACATGGCAAAAAAGGATGTATTGAGCTTTTAAAGATGAAGACTGTTTGGTCAATGAATCAATCTACCAGATTGGTAAAACCGTAAAAGCACATTTACCATTTATTTGCATGGAAAGACAGAAAAGCTTCGAAAGGTGTCAATTGGTTAGTTAATAAGATCTCTGCTGGTGGTATTGGAGCCTTGGGATTGAATCCCACCGGCCACCGCCACCGCGACCATAGGGGTGTGTAGTAAGTAGCCCCACAGCCCCATTTGGAGTTTTTTGAAATTCGTGATTTTGGTCTTTTCAGGTATTTTTGGGCGTGCATCTTTCGTCGTCAGACTTAAAATTAATTTTCCGACTGTGTTGAAGCCCATAAAATCACATGGAAAGAATGGGGAGATTGTCTAAAATTTACGCATTTTTCATCCAGGAATTGGAACCGACCTCGGTTTTGGCCTTTTGGGTATCAGTTCTAAATTGATTTCACTCGGTCCTAAATTAATTTAGACCTGACCCGAGTCATATATATATATATATATACACACGTATATTTATTTATTTATTATAATCGGATTTGTTGGGGTAGACTTAATTATCGCTTTGTTTTGTTGTAAATGGAAAATAAAGCAAAACTTTGATTAAAAAACAACAAAAATATATCTCAAATGCTTCAATCTAAAAATTTTTCTACCCATTTTACGTATTTAAGTAAAAAGGGAGCTTCAAATAAAAAAAGAACGTTTTTGATTGAAATCAAACTCATCTGACACTCCATATCTGTACAATTGTTACATTATCCCTTTTAATTTCAAATGCAACAAGAACCGAGACCAAAAAAGGATCTATGGTCAAGAAGAGGACATATGGTTATGTAGGGTCCAATGTCCACTTCTATCATATGCCAAATAGGACAAAGGTGTATTGAATAAAAAAATGGGTTAATTAGACTTCAATCCCCTCCTAGTATACTACTCGCCCCCCTATAAACCGCATCCTGGCCATGGATTTGGCATCAATCCATGGTCAGGATTCACCCCACCTGTGCGGTGGGGTTCAGATTTCTGGGGTAGACTGAACTATAAAAACCCTAATAAAAATTACGTTGACATAACTATATGCTTAATAAGGTTGGTTAAAAAATTGCATTTGTGTTGATTTGGACAACTTCTGTTAATGAATACTAACGATGTTATTATGGATGGTGAGTTTTGGAAAATGAAAAGTTAATGACATGGGGTTCTTTGGACGTTTTGAAAAGTTATGATAAATTTAAGAAAAATGCTGAAAAGTCATGGTGAGTTTTAGACAATTTCTCAAAAGGATGTTTTATCACACATCTTTGGGTTGTTGATCATCGGTTTGATTGTTTGGATCAAACGGGTCAGATCGTGTCATGTCAGCAATATGTATGCATGGATAAATAGGTGTGTATAAGCAATATGTATGAATGTAATATATGTTTTTAAATTTTATTTATAAAAAAATATTAAAAATTGTGATTTGAGGCCAAAAAATGGATTTTTTGACTAAATAATGGGGCAAGGTGCATACAATGCCTTGGGATGGATATGTATTGAAAAATTATCCAAAATAAACAAAAGATCATCTCAATCAAACATCGGAATGCAAAATTATGGCCTCCCAAAATTTGCATATATATATATTTAGTGTACAATCCATAACCTAGTTATTGAATTGAATGATTTTTGAGTAATTAAATGATTTTTTTATCATTTTTTGAATTTTACTAAAACCAAACCCAAAATCTTAACTATATGACCATTTGAATGATTCAATTGACTTTATCAATCACAAGTTGAAAACACCGATCCTACCTCGTTCAATTCAATTAAAATCTTAGTCTGATTAATGCATCCGGACGGTGAATTAATGCCGAGGGGAGAGGGCTAATAATAAGGGGGGGGCTGGAATTCGGAATTCTGCATCGTGTGTATCTATAATTCTCCGTTCATAGGATGCTCACATTTGTACGAAAAAAAATCTTGAGCTGGTCGAATCTGCCGAGCGAGCTGCGGCTGGGTTAAGTAATGGAAACGTATATATTAATTATATTAGAGACTTAATCACAGTTAGCGCCCGTGGCCTAATGGATAAGGCGTCTGACTTCTAATCAGGCGATTGTGGGTTCGAGTCCCACCGGGCGTGGGTCTTTTCTTTTATTGTGAATATTTTCTTTACCGGGCGTTCCCTTTTACTTTCAAGAAATGGTTTCGTGCAACTCTTGTTTTCTTCGACCTCCATTCCCACAATGAAAGGTGAGACCGTGAGAGCACCATGTCTGTAATAAAATCCTGAAAACTTCATGTCTGGAACCCTGCAGGGATGATGATCACTGAATAGAAATATGAGAGAGAGATAACTAAGAGTGTTGGATTTATCTAAAAAGCTCTGCATTAACCATCTTGCTTGCCTGTGTTGGAATATCATTCCTTGGGTGATCAGATTCAGATGCCCCTTTTTTGTCCTCAGGTATCATCAACAACTAAGTCAATATCTAAGGCGGTGTTTGGTATTGATGCCATTTTTTCAGAAAACACGGAACCATGTAGGTGCTACATCAGAAAAAGCGGTGTTTCAGAAAACAGCCTCTAATTTGATTCCATTTTTCTATAAAAAGAAAAATATTGCTTCAGACCACATCGTGGAAATTAGAAAAATGTGGTCTGAAGCAACACTAAATTCTATGTTTTCTTAGAAAACAATCTATTACTGCCAGCAATAGAATGATGTGGTATCAATGTGACATCATCTTGGATGTTAGATAATATGATCAATGCTGAAAATGGTTCTATAGTACTGGTAACCAGTGCTATTTTCCAAAAAACAGCCTATATATGACAATGCGCTTACAACCCAGACATACCCAGCACCGATGCCAAACACCTACTAAAGTGCCAATTATTCCTAAATTCAAGCATAAATTCATCATAATTCATAACCTAGCAGGGCTTCTCAGGGTAGTTCTTTAAATGTTTGTTTTACTCTTAAACATAATAAAACACATACTGAATTTCAACATTTTATACAACTCATGTCCTTATTTAATTTTGCTCTGAAAAAAGCAAAACAAAAAATCAACCATTTTTCGCTTATATAAACGAGACATTCACTTTCTTGCTGCTTCAGTGGGATTTGATGGTGGTCTCATGTCTGTCTGCTTATGATTCTATAAACAGGAAAATTATTACTTGTTTTTTGAGCTAACAAAAATTAATGGGTCAACTGGAGAAACCTTTCTCCATTAAAATACTGTTCCAGTAAAGGGTGAGTATTAGAACAAAGGCACACTTGACTCCTTGTCCTTTTAATCTGAATATCAATGTAAACATTTACATCGATTATGACGTAAAACTTAAAGTGAATGAAGTTTTACATAGATTTACGATATTTAACTACGTTCCATCTAAATGCCAATAAATACGGACCGGAGTATTTAATTAGAATGGTCCATATTTACACTGCAAACAAACGCAGCCTAAACAAAATGTATTGCTTCACTCTCCCTTGCTTTATAGTTCATTCGACCTTTTCCTAGGCCAGCATTAAGCTCCATAAAGCATCTTGTCCCCTTATAGAAACATTGCAAGATCCCACTTTGGACCCAAGTATTACAGACTGGGTGGTGCTTGATAATGCTGAGATGGAGTTTGATATCGAAAAATTTGCTTTTCAGAAGTTAAGTCTCGTTTCTGTTAATGTTTGAAGTTTGAAGTTTGAACCATGCTTCTGAAAAATGATAATAAGGATGATTTGAGGTAAGAGGCGACCCATTCATGCATTGAATGCATTCAAATGACTCATGATAAGTAAAATGCCTTCTTTTATTCTTTTAATACTATAGTGGTTCTAAAAAGCAGAAAAGCTAATTCACTGTTTTTAGATATCATATCCATAAAAAGAGTATTATTTCTGCAACTCTGCTTTTCAGATATCAGATTTCAGTTTATACATCAACTTGTTCCAACCCATAATTCATAAAATAACAAATTCTCAATCCTGACAGAAAGTTAGACGAATTCTACGATGAAATTGCAGAATTTAGCAACCATAGCACCATCACCATCGCCATCAAAAGAAACAGAACCCACTTCCCTTCTGACTCTTGACATTAGTCCAAAAACAGAACAGGACATAAAAGCAAGAGAAAAGGCTGAAGCTTACCAGACAAAGAACAATATCACAGAAGTCACACGAGCATCACTACTCCAACTACAATCAGATGAACTGCTACAGAATCATAAAAAATCGAACTAAAAACGTCTTCCAATTAAAATGATTGATTTGAGCTTCATCCCACCTGTCTGTGTCTACTGATCTACTCCGCTTATTTAATTATTTTATGCATTAGAAAACAAAGCAAAAAGGCATTCAGTTCAGAGACAAGCCTATTAATTATAGGGACTGATACAGACTTATTTTTGTTTCATCAGATCCAACCAAGTAATTACACATGGTATTTCATAAAGTAAGCTTTGCAAAAAGTGTTCCTTCTTCATCTACTGTTATGATTAAACTCAACCAAACCCATTAATCTATTTCATTTTATTTATTACACAATGTAAGAGGAGATTCATTGTCTTCATTTTAGTGGAAAAATTAAATAGTAAATGTCACTTCTATTCTCTTTTCGCTGAGGTCAATGCTACTAGGTTTGGAGTCTTTGGAGCATGGTTCTTTCAGAAGCATGGTTCAAAGTTGAGGTCAATGCTACTAGTAGACTGGGTGGTGCTTGAAAGGGCTAGTAATTGTCTCCCATTTTCCTTTGGCCAAAACAA